CTCCCCTCACCCCACTACACACGCAGTTACAAGAGCCAGGATGCGCAGACCAGGCCCGATGACCCCATAACAAGAGTCAATGAGGGACCAAGGACATCTCTGACTATCTCCATGATTCAATCGATGGGATGCTGCCTTAAATAAAACTGTCTCATTTCCAGGCTCCATCCCAGCCGCCTCAGACTAACACAGGCGAAGGCAGGAGGAAGGCAGAGGACCTGGAGCACTCCAGCGGCCGCACTAACTGGAAAAATGGAAAAGTTACCAACACTCAACCTTCTCATCAACCAGCAAATAAATCCGGTTTTGTTTTTGCTTTTGTTTTTTAACAGGGCAGATAGTAGAGAAGATATAGAGGAGGAGAGAGACTAATAGGGACTCTCACTGGAGGCAAACTGCCTGTGGGTGACCAAAAGGTCAAAATAACCTTGGCGAGAGGATCCTAAACAGAATGCCATCCCCGCTCCTTGATTCTCATGGCTCTCTTTGGACATCAGAGAACATAAGAAAGAAAATAGACAGAAATTGTAGAGGTAGCTGCATGTGATCACCACAACAATAATGAAATAGGCCTTCTGTTGCTTCCAGGCATGAAGGTGACCCCTCATGGGAGATCCTGACCCACTAGTGGGACTAGGGCACCTCGGTTACAGGCCCTTGCTGAAGACGAATTCCATCTCATTTCCACCAGTCAGCGCGTTGGCTTTCCAAGTGTGACAGCACTTGGTAGCCTCTGAACTGCAACAACAGACCTGGCTCTGACTGAGAACACAGACCAGGCTAGGGACTTGCAAGATCCCTCAGGCTGCGCATGCCCAAGGGATGGGCAGGAGGTGCAGAAGACTGTCACAATGGCCTGGCACAACACTGGCAGGACCCAAGCAGTGGTTCTACCTCTTCGTTGCTGAGTTGATGGATGCCCCAGGCAAGTGCTATTATTTGGGTCCTCTTCTTGGGCTCTTAACAACCCACAGGCTCCTTATGACCAAACACCAGCTTGGCGCCCTCCGAATCCCAGCACAGTGGCTCTTCGCGGCTGCTCAAATCACATTTGTTGCACAAAAGTCCATTTATAAAATTTTAGTTCAGCCACCAAATGTTTCTACACAGAAGTTTACAGGAATGATACTATTCAAGTATTTTAATTTAGCATGTTTGCTATGTGCTAAATCTGTCCATTCTCATAGATTAAAATATTATTTGCAGGACTGGGGAGATAGTTCAGCAGTCTAAGGGCCTGCCTGGCAAGCACAAGGACTCAGATTTGATTCCTGGTACCGCATACTATGCCAGCCCCAGAACCCTGGGCATGCCATGTGGGCCCCAAAACCAGGTGTGATGGGGCACGTCTGTAATCCCAGTTCAAGGGAGGCTGAGACAGGAGGATCACTACAAATCTGAGCTGCACAGTGAGACTCTGTACCAAATAAATAAATAAATAAATATTTGTTTCTTATACCCCACCAGAAGGGGAATCCCAAGAGGTAGGAACCCTGGCCTGCTTTGATCACCACTCTATTTTCCAGAGCCAAGATCAGCCTGCAGAGTGGTATGCATGCAATAAAATCTGCTGAATGAATCCACGAATATCCCAAAATGTAATTGTCTGAAGACTTGTACCCCATGTTAATGGCAGGCTTCAGTCCCCATGGTACAGAGGGGTCTGAGTTCTCACCCATTTACCACAAACTCAGTGCCTGTGTACCCCAACCTGCGCACCAGAGGAAACACTGTCACCCTGGGAGGACAGTTTCCACAGCCTCCTTCCTAGTCGCCACTAGGAAGACAGGCAACAGGAGGGCACCCTGGCATGGTAACTGTCGCCCACAAAGAAGGGCAGGGCACCTTTGGAGCCAGCAGCCTGTGCTCCAGCTCAATTTTGTGTGTCCAAACTCCCACAGGCCTGGGGTAACCCTTCATAGTGCAGGAAGCCCTGGCAGCAGAAGTGTGGCCCCAAGCCCGAGGCTAGGGCTCAGAACTCACCAGCCCACAGACACGGGCACTGGAGGTGGCAGGGGCATTTCTGCTCCATACTTTGAGGACAGTTGAGCTGTAAGAGCCACAAGGATGGGGGTGGGGACTGAGTGTCTGACCCTGTGCCTTGGCCACAGGCCATGTCATCATCTGATTTCCCCTATCAGGGAAGCAAGTTGGCAGGAAATGGCTACCTTCCCTTAACCTGCTCAGAAGTCATCGAAAGGGCAAATCAAAGACTCAGACAAAGAGCTCCACCTGAGTACTCACTGCAGGACGGAGTCAGAAGACCCAGGGCCCCAGCGCGGGTCTGGGCCATGTGTCCCCTAAACCACAGTCTGGGGGACTCTGGAGCTGCAGGCTCTGCAGCGTACACACCGCCACTCAGTGTGCCCAGGCCCCTGACTCCATGACCACCAGCAACACTACAAGCATCAAGGGGTGAACTCTACCCTAGGCCTCAGCGTCCACTTCCTTAAAGCGGACAGAACACGGTCCTCACAGGACAATCGCACAGACTCAGTGAGATCGAGTCTCTGAAAGCAATACCCAAAGATAAAGTTATTACTTGAAAGAACCATTCCACAGACAGCCACACAGAGCCTCAGAGCACCAGGGAAGAACAGCTCATTGCAATGAACGAGCATAAAACACAAAAGCTGTTCTGTTCTGCTGCCTTTTTCCCTGAAGCACGTCCTCCAGGTTAAGCAACTACCTCTTAAACACTGCTATATTCCATAAACAAGAATTAATAATGTCAGTTTGTGAAAAAGCAAGTCCATCTGGACCATTCAGAATCCGATCTTGGAAAATGCTGCTCTGTTTTTCAGGGATTCCATGTCAGTGCAAGGCTCTAGGACTCTTTCTCCATCGAGGGAGCCACTGCATGGAGGAGGGACATCACTCACATATTTACACCCCAAAACATAATGCACACAAACACACCTATGTATAGCCAGTGTATCCTACTCCTGGATGTCCCTAATTGTCACTAAGCCGAGACAAAAGAAACAGCATTCACGTATTCCTGAACACTCACAGGCCATTTAATACAGATGCTTTGTGCAAAGTATAATGCTTCTTTCATTTAGAAAAGTCAAAGCCGTTCATCTCATTAATCCCGGCCAAACCTCTCCCAGACAGCAGGCAGACAAGAAGATGAAAGGCAACAAAAACAATGCAGGGCCCCCTGAGGCTGCGGCCTGTTGGTAGGTATTAAGCTGTGCTACCGCTATGAGACCATCCTGACTCTTTCTCAAGTGTGAGGAAAAGAATGAGGCCAGAGGTTAGGAGAAGCTCTCACCCTCAGGTAAATCCCCTTCCTTCTTCTCCAGAGCACAAGGCTCTACCGGCACAGAAGGCTGATGTGCTCAGGCTCCAGAAGCCCACGGTGGTCCAGTCATGTCCCTGCCCCCCCACTGCCTCTCCCACAGCCCCACCCCCACCAGTTCCTCAGGAACAAAGTCTCTTCTCTACTGACTCTGAAGACAAGCGCTGTGTAAAATGTGGTGAGCACCAACCACTGCCCCCCGACCCCGTGTGAAAGAGGCTGAGGACCACACTCAGCTGTTCAAGTCCAACCTGCTGAACCTCAGACCTCAGTCAACCTAGGGGGTCACTAAGGGAAGGACAACACAGGGCCTAGTGCCCTGTAGCCGCCATTTGTGTTCTACATTATTATCTCAAAGTTTCCCTCAGACTACTGAGGACTCACTGTGGTTCACAGGGAGGCCCACAGTGCCAGAGGGTGTGCTTCAGGCCTACCTTCAGGTTTCTATTATTGGTCAGAAAATAACAGGTACAGGTGAGGATGCTGAAGACCTGGAAGCTTGTGTGTATTGCTGGTTGGTAATGTAAAATGGCACAGCCACTATGAAAAACAGGAAGTAAATTCCTCAAAAAATTAAACTGAAATTATTGTATGTCCCAGCAATTCCACTTATAAGACCTATGTCCATAAAATTAAGACAGGGACACCAAAGACATCTGCACACCAGCGTTCACAGCAGCATTATGTGACACACAAAAGACGAAATATGCCAAGTGTTCTTGTTGTGGCGGACACATGAGAGGGAATATTGCTCAGCCTTAAAAAGGAATGAAATTCTGAAATATGCTGCAACATGGAGAAATCTTGAAGACATTACACTGAGGAAAATAAACTAGACAAAACCGGATAAATACATGCTTTCACTTATGAGGTACCTAGAAGAGTCATAGAAACCAAAAGTAGAATAGGCTTGCCAGGGCCTGCGAAAGGGAAAGCGTGGAATTCATGAGTGGAGTTTTAGTTTGGAATAACTTTTTTAAATGTTCTAGAAATAGATACTAGCAATGATAGCATGATATGATGAATATACTTAAGGCCAATAAATTGTATCCTTAAAATGGCTTAGATGGTTTTGTGTTATATGTATTTCACCATTGAAAGATATTAGCTTAAAATTCAGAAATTTTAAATCTTTAAATATTTATTGCCTATACCTTTCTACTTTGAGAATTCTAATTATATGAATAGAACTTTCTTGATTTTGGCACAGAGTGAAC